AAAAACAAGGCCAAACAACTTCTATACAACGAAAGGAGACTGCGACCACACAAAAGGCACCACCATCTTGGTCTTCATATCTTCGATCATACACATTAAAGTTTACCCCGGACTACGTGCATAATCAGCAATATCTGAAGGAATTGAACTCCAGAAATGCAGGTTCGGTGCCATAAACTAAGCGTACTGTATAGCAAGGCTCTAATACTAATAAGTTTGAGTAAAAAAATGAATCTCAAAATGCAAAATCAGTCTACAAAAATGAAACCTCAAACCATTCTGGATGAGAATGCACTCTTAGGAAGCAAGTGGGAGTAAAATCAACAAGAAAAAAATTTGTTCAGTAATAAGGATCTCTATTATGAAGCATAATCACTCTTAGCGAAGATTTGCTTATATCTTCGAGAGCATAACAACTAACATAAATTATAAAGATATGGATGAATAAAAAAAATTTAATGTCTAGCATTCAAAGATAAAATAAGGAACAGGTATAAAAAAGCTGTACCTCTGCGTTGTTCTAATTGGTGCATATACTGTAACAATTGAGGATGCATTTCATGAAGTGTGGTAAATAGGGCCTGAACAGTAGTGTCATTTGCGATGCTGCGTCCTCTCTGACTGTCACTAAGCATGCGATTGGTAAAAAACTGGATACTGGACTGAAGAGCTCGCAAAAACTCGGTCTGTTGTGCAGTGACCAATGGAGGAACCCCAGGTGGGCTGATAGAGCGGAAAGCATTTTCAAGTTCGTTTGGAACAGCATCGCTGGCCTGATGACGGTAAAAAAGATGTGGGTATATAAACAATTTCAAAGTGGCATGGTGCAAGGATGAAAAATTTAGTAGACCAAGTAAGACGGCCATGATAATAAAAAAGATTTACTTTCTCAGACTAATCCAAAACACGTTTTCCTGGTTACGGGGATTTAACATCAAAACGTAAGATTACGAAGTCTAGAAAAATTAAAAAACAGCCAACATCATGAATAGAAGGAGAGTGTAGAAAATTGAGTAGGAACTATTTGTGGCTGTTGGGTAGGCTTAAGGAGAGCAGGAAGAGCCACTGAGCAAGAGGCTAGATTAGCCTCGAGTATAACTAGAACTATTACACTTCGCATGACATTAACATTACATACACACATTAGACCATAACACAACCCTAAACAAGAATCGACATTAGTGAAAACAAGTGTCACCACATCCACTTACTATTCATGAATCAACTTCACTAATCTGCAAGCATATAAAATAGGTTTGAGGTAGCTAACCAAACTATGGAGCGCCTCCTTAAGATCGCAAGAATAGATGTAAAAAAAATAACTAGTTTGGAGCCGACCAGTTTCTCTGGTATTTTTATATTTTCGTTATATTTCGTAAAATATGGA